CGAGAAGCAGCTCAATGTGTACACGGATGCATCATATAGCGATATCTCATTTGGATGCCATTTGATCCTTTGGGGATCGTCGCTGTTGCTCTGGAAGGCTGGCAAGCAGCCCATTCAAGCTGCATCGACGGCCGAGGCCGAACTTGTGGAGGTGCTTGAAGGAGCATTGGCGGGAGATGCTGTCAAGGTCGTTTTGGAGGAGGCATTGGATGTTTGTGCTAGGTCATTTTCCTACACAGACAGCTCAGCGGCATTAGCCATCATTGCCGGAGATACTGGATCTTGGCGGACACGCCATTTGCGGAAAAGGGCCTTCATTTTGCGCTCAAGAGTTTTGTCTGGGGAATGGATGCTCCGGCATTTGCCTGGAGCTGAGATGCCAGCTGACCTGGGCACCAAAGTTTTATCGGTGCAGAAGTTCAACCAGCACAAAGAAACCATGGGCATGTTTTTGGAAGGTTGGAAAGTTTTGGAAAAGATAGAAGACGGAGAACAGAATGAAACCACTTTTGGGATGACACAAGAAGCACGTGAGAAAGCGTTGAAGATCATCATTTTGGTGACAAAATTGGCGCTTGCAGGAGCATCGAATGAGGAGAAAAAAGAGATTTCAAATGCTTTGGTCATTCAAGACCTCAATCCAGTTTTGCAGCAGAGAGACGGTCAGTTTTATTTCATCATGTTTGTGGCTGTGATCCTTTTTGCCGGTTTCATCATTGGAGCATGCGTCATGGGCATTTTCATGTGGCACAGAGTTGACAAGCTCACTGTTGTCAAATACAAAGGTTCATTGCTGAACGTGCCTGCGTTTTTGTGGCATGCGCCAGAAAGAGATGAGGATGAAAGAAATCAGCAGCAACGTGATCCAACTGTCAGGCCAAATTGGTTGCCTTCTACGGCTGCTGGCGCTGCGGGCGCTTCACCTACGGCTGCTGGCCGTGCTGCTGGCGCTGCGGGCGCTGGATCTGCGGCTGCTGGCGCTGCAGGCGCTTCATCTACGGCTGCTGGCCGTGCTGCTGGCGCTGCAGGCGCTTCATCTACGGCTGCTGGCCGTGCTGCTGGGGCTGCGGGCGCTTCATCTAGTGCTGCTGGCCGTGCTGCTGGCGCTGCGGGCACTTCATCTACGGCTGCTGGCTGTGCTGCTGACGCTGCTGGCGATGGAAATACGGCTGCTGGCCGTGCTGCGGGCGCTGCATCCACAGCTGCTGGCAGTGCTGATGGCGCTCCAAGAAGTTATGGAGCAGCTGGCATTCCTAGCGCTGCAGCTGGCGCGGCAGATGGCGGCGCAGCGGCGCGTGAGCCGGCGAACATGTTGAGATCAAGAGGATCTCGTTCCCAAAGAGGACCAAAACCCCTTTTCACCACGCCATTTGGTGGAAGATACCACTGTGACCGTGAATGCCATGGTCTTAGACATGCCAAGGAAGTTTGTCTGACGCCACGATGTCACAGATGTGGCCCACAGTCAGACGTTCCCCAACATAGGCTGTATGCGATCTCACATGGATATGCACTTCATGTTGATTATGAGCATTGTCGTGATGCGGGATCCAATGGTCCACTTCGGGCCTTCAATCCATGTGCGATTTGCTGCACTGCAGATGATAGACTTGTTTAGAGGGCTTGAGCTGAATATGTGGTCAGTGGAACTGATCACATAGGGGGAGTGCGTGTGAGAATTTCATGCATCCCTATTTATCCAATTCTCAAATGGAAATACTTCCACTTTTGCTTTGACTACTACCCAACGGGTGTAGTCCAGACTACTACCCTCCGGGTGTAGTCTAGGAATCTTGAAGAACCTGCATCTGGGCCGGACCGAAGCCCTTTAGATGTCAAGTGGCACAAAGGTGCGTCAGCTGGCAGCGAGGTGGCTGCTTGGAGTTTTGGGGAAACTTGGTTTTGTTTTTTGGGTTGAAACATTCTTTTTCCGGTTGGAGTCGAGATCTCAGTTGCTGTTCAGGGTTCCAGGACGGTTCACTTGTTGGCATTGGGAGGCTTCAGGAAACACAAAGAGTATGACGAACTGAGCAGTTTTAACACTTACATAACTTACATATAGATTGCAGCCATGATCATGGTAGCCATGAAAAAGCTACCCATATCACGTGCAGTAACCCACAATAAGATTCAGTTTATCACTATTTTAAGATTTTGGGGCTGGATTTTACCAAGTTTTTTTTGTGGTTTGCTGCATACAATTTGTATGCGGCCATAAAAACAATAAGATGGGTGTATCTGAGAAAACCCTAAATCCACTGGTTCGCCATCATTTTCCCTATTAGTGCCATTCGCTGGTATACCTCAATTTCAGAGAGACTCATTTGGGTGGTTCTTTAAATGGCGGATCCCCAAATTACCGGGGGTTCAATACTAAGTCATGGTCATCCATGACTTGGATCATTTGGGGTACCCCATGACTTTGGAAACTCACATTTGACGGCACCTCAGAGGATTTCGCGGCAGCCCCTGCAGCCTGCGCCTCAGCGGGGAAGCAAACCTTCCAAATGTTGGTCTTTGAAATGACACTGGGGTGATGACAAAATGCCATGCATAGTTGCTGGAATTGACTGCGTAATTGATTAACTACCAGTTTTATTAACTGATGAACCATCAATTTCATGGGAATTTAATGGGAATAGCATGATTTAATGGAGATTCACCAAGCAATCAAAACATCATTCACAATCTCAGGTACCGTGCACGAGTATATAAACATCCCCATTAGCAAGAGATTCAAGTACTAAAGCAGTCATCAAAGATTAACCCAGATAGAGTGATGAATTTGCCAACCATAGTGGTGATTTAATCGCGGTATAACGCGCATATGTAAACAACAATATACAACAATATGATTTGGGGATTGAAAATAATTCCAATGTGTTGCAAGGTTAATGAGGAAATGGCAAAAAAAACATGGAAAATTAGTGTCCTATTTTTCGACAAACACACTTGGGCACACCTACTACGGAATCGACAAACGGCACTGTAAACGGGTGAGTCCTTTGACGAGACGCTGCCAAGTATGTATATATTATATATATATAAATCAGAGTATTGCCGCGCAGGTCCAGTACATGTGATTCGGGATGATTTGGAAAACCAAAAAGTGACCTTGATGCCGTGACTCTCAGATTGGGTATCCAGAAATATTAGCAAATTTGGTGTCCTTCAATATACAGTTTCTTGGCTTGGGAGGTCTGCAATTTGAAAACAACCAAAACGCCCAAGGAACGGAGCTCCAACTGATGGTCCCATGGTCCTTGAAATCCAATTTTCCAAAGACCGTAACTATTTGCAAAGGCTATGAAGCAAGAGTTAAACATACTAGAAATAGATAGAAATAGGGACATGACCATCCTATGTTCGTCTGTTCGGTGACTCACCCGGATGGTTACTAGATTGCTCAACGATAATTTCCACCAATTCGGAACGATCTTCCTTGGGGGTGTTCATCCATCTTCATGGCGCAAAGACACACATTCCAGCGCCACATCCATTTTTGACAAAGAAGTGCATCTAGACACACTGGACTACTAACTCCAACAGTCCTGGGTACAGTCTACCTTCCTGTTGAAGCTGAGCATGTTCGATTGCCCAAGGGTATAGCCCACAAATCATGCCAGCGCGCAACGATGTGCATCCCCAGACTCGTCAGTGGTTTATCACCCTGGGTTATCGTGGGTCTCCTGAACTGGAGTATCCTGTTTGAAGCTGGCTGGCTTGTACGCATGGTATCTGATGTCATGCAACCATCTGCGGATATCCTTATGAATGTTATATCCCAATTTGTAAGAGCCGGGTTATACAGATGCAAATGCTTATGGGTCAAAGTTAAGTACCAAAATGTGGCGATCCCCGGGCCATTAGATTTTGACCCATAAAACCGTTTGTAATGCTTGGGGGCCTATCCCCCATTAAAATGGACCCCAAACCTTAACAATCCATGAAAAACTTCCATTTTCAAAACCTCATCGACAAGCCTCTAGAATCCGTCTTTTGCCGTTGACAAAGACCTAGACTTGGTTTTACCAAAAAAATTGCAGCTGTGCGCCAAAGGACACCCTCCGGTTCTAAGCTCTCACACTGCCAGAATCTCCGTCCCGAGCCGGTTTACTTCCTGGACGGCAGCGACGGAGTGGGGTGTCTCAAAAATGTTCGGGATACTACGGTGGGTAAAAGAAAACACACACAAAACAAAATGGAGGTATATTCGCAGTACTGTCATGATCATAAGTATGATATGTAAGCATAAGAAGCATGTCATAAGATGTCATAAGAATCACCAGTACTCTGGCGGTCTAATAAACAATCAGATGTATTATATCATAACATGTAAATTCTATCTCAGTATTTCTGTGCATAGCTTCGATTTCTTACTCTTTGGCTTCCCACTTGTTGTTGATATGGGGATGGATCAAATCAATGATAACAAACTTGTGCGGGATGAAACATCTGACTGTAGCAGCCGCAGCCGTTTGATATAAACTCCAGCCGTACCGGGGTTTCACCCACACCCATCAGTACAACACGGGTACAATGGGACTAGTATATAATACGGTTTTGCACTCGATACAGGACCAACAACAAGACCATATGACACTTGGCCTTGCCCTGGTGATGAACCCCCAAGGACGATGTCTCACAATGAAAGGATGATAAACTATGGGATTGAATGGGGTATAAAATTTTGAGACAACTCCATTGTGGGTTGATGTTGCAATCCTACAGCAATTTGCATCGCAGGTTTCAACAAACAACTGCGCCTCGGCAAGAAAATTGAGAGCATCCTGCAGGGAATGGCTTGGAGAATATGGGCTGATCCTGCTAGCAGAATTGGGGCCGGGTAGCTCCTGCAGTGTCATCAAACATGCCTTGCTGAAAAGTCCCTCGTTTATAGATTATTTTTTCCATTCGTTTATAGGGGATGTCCTGACTAGCCATACTAGTTCATATGTGACTACCGGAGATTACCGGAGGGTAGATGGAAAAAAACCTGATCAGATCCGCGTGTTCACGACCTCTTCAGTGTTTGCGAATGGCCCTAGGCCCAAGGGCTTAGATGACTCACTGCGCCTCGCCATGTTCGTCGATGATGGCCTCCCCAACGGGAATCATTTGGCAAGGCCACAGGGGTTGCTGCTGGGGTAAAAGGTGGAGGTTCTGTAAAAGGAATAAATGCCCACAAATCATCCAAGTCATTAGACCATTTTAATATTGAAACCTATAGTTTTGGGAATCCCCCATTTTTGAGAAACAACCAAATGAACGGAAAAAACAGAGATCCAATGGCCTGAAGCTCTGGATCTGCAGCTCGTTCTTCTTCCTGCACGGATGTATTTATGCTGTCATGCCGTTCGCAAATCTGGCGGAAGTGAACATATCAGAAGTTGGCCGCTGCCATTTTCCTCATACTGGGCACACATTGCGCCGCAGCTTCAGGCTCTTCACTAGGAAACAGGACAGAGATTTCAATTAAATGCTGATTTGGGATGGTTTTGGGTTATCCCTCGATTTTTGAAATCCACACACACACACACAAACGGGAATGAGCACTCAAGGAACATCTTCAGATTTACCAATCTTCGCTAATGCCTCTGAGATCTGGCTTGTGGAAAACACTTGGGAAAGTTTCAGTAGGTATAGCATCTACAGTCCCGGAATCTTCCAGCCAAGATTGCCACAGGAAAGTGTCATTCTGCAGAAAAAAGACGCCAGTACGCGTTCTCTTGATGAAATCCTCAGTGTTTCCTGTTGAGATCCCCATTTTCCGTCAGTTTTTGCCATTGTTTTCCGGCAGGCCCTGAGCCTCTGAGCACGTTGACGTGGCAGCGGCATGTAGCGTGGCAGAGTTGCCTGCGAATCAGTATCAACACTACTCTGTCACTTGCTTCCCACCCTCCCTCCAGTGAAAACTTTTAGCGAAAGCTGCTGAAAGATTCAAAGAGTTCTGCACCCAGCTGGTCAGCTGGGTGCCAGTCCACGCCGATGATTGGACCCTGGGTTGTATATGGTCTCAACCCAGTGGTCCATTTCGAGTCCCATGAATTAACATTGGTTGTGGGTGGGTGGGAAAATTTGGGATTGGATGATGTCACCTTAAGCCAAAATGTAGCCCAGGTGACATCATTCCCACCCACCCAACCAAAGTGACATCAACGTGTTACATCCACACACGTGTTACTTCCAACACTACTCTGTCACTTGCTTCCCACCCTCCCTCCAGTGAAAACTTTTAGCGAAAGCTGCTGAAAGATTCAAAGAGTTCTGCACCCAGCTGGTCAGCTGGGTGCCAGTCCACGCCGATGATTGGACCCTGGGTTGTATATGGTCTCAACCCAGTGGTCCATTTCGAGTCCATGCTAATCATCGGAACTAGATGAACTTGAACTCTCATCATCACTATCGGGGAGCAAGTGGCATTTGGGGCACATGCGATAGGCGTGAATTAATGATGCATTCTCGTCAAAAGTTTCTGCGTTAAATTTTCCCGCAAATCGCCATCCACACTTGGTTTTCCATGTGTGTGGGCTTGCAGACAAGGCAATCACCGCACGGTGCTCTACACCAGAGATGGTATTAATTATCCTCTTCGTTTCAATGATCTGACGATCTTCCAATGCTATGGAAATACCTTTCAGTTGATCAGAGTGATCTTCCACGTTTCTCTGCAGAGCACTGATGTCACGTTGCAGATCATCAAGACGATCCTGACTTTGTCGATGCACTGCTAACATTTCCATTGCATTGACACGCCGATCAAGTTCTCCGAAGTCAAGGTGACTTGCATCATCGCATGTCTTGAGCCGCTGAGTGTCCAAAGGTTTGATCCGTTGGTTGAGGCTCAAGAGAGGAGCTTCAGCTAAGTAAGTAAGAACCGCATTTGACCCCCACCTTCCAAGCAATTGTATTGTAATAGGATCCAAGCCAGTCGCTGCAAGGAACCGTGCCCCAGTTATGCGAAAGGTGTGTCCAGACAATCTATGATTTCCATCTGAATCACGGATTTGCATGCCAGAAGCTTCTGCCGCAGCACGAATGGTGTCTACTACACCTGCCTTGGTGCAGTAGTTGCCTCTTCTGTCCGGAAAAAGCGGAGAGCCCGCCTTCAACCCAGCTGCATCAAACTGTCGACAGTGCTGCAGCAGAACATGATATGGACATGGTATGTTCCTGTCGCAAACACAGGCCCAGGTCCTCTTGCATCCCTTAGCTTCCCAATCCGTTTTCGACACAGGAAGTGAAATGGTAACAGATCCAGCATTGAGTGTGACATCAGACCTGTCAACAGCTGAAGCTTCCAGCTCACGTAGCATGAAGTAGGTTGCACAGACAATGAGCGCCAAAGGTTGTTGTGGTCCTCCTTCTGCCAGACAACCATCAGATGCTCTGAGGGTGGACACGATCGCCATCAGATCAAAAGCCTCCGAACGTGATGCTCCTGAAAGACCTCGTAGCACAGACCTCACACATTTCTGTGATGTCCTATTTAAGGCCTCGCTCCATTGATATCCAAGCTGAAGGTGGTGATCCTTCGCACGGCTGAGATAATTCTTGAAACTCCTGTATCCGCCAACTTTGAACATGGCAGATACTCTGACCAGAATGATCTCATTCAATGGAAAAGGTTGACAGCCTTCTTCCCCAAACCAAGAGACGTGCAGTTTCACCCAGGTCTTAAGGAGCGCATCCCTGGGTTTCTTTGATGTTGCAGCATACATATCTGACAACAGGTGATCCAACGCAGCCTGTTTGGTATCAGAGCTACAAGTCGCTCTCACTGCTCTGTCCAAGTCTCCTTTGTCCACTTTCCTCACAACGGGCATGTCACCCCGTTTGCGCTTTGATTTCAAATCAAAGCTACCACCCTCCGACCTGTCAGAGTGATGTCTGCGACAAGAGACTAATATACCAGAGTTGCATTCGTTTGGATCACTATGCGCAGTCTCTCTACGCCATCGCTCTTGTTGAGCTAACAGGCAAACCGCAGGTACTTGGGGGAGAAACCCTAGTCTACTAGGTCTTCTCCGCTTCATTGGTGAAATGGCTATGGAATAAATGATGAGCCATTCCTGCAAGTACAGCCACACACAAGAACAGAAATGTATATAAATATCCAGTTACAATGTACCCATTCACCAAGAGCAAACGGGTACCCCATGAACACCCACCTACCAAGAGCAGGTAGGGTGTCGATTGCAAGTATATCTTGAAACCACGGTTCATCTGAATTCTCAACTGCACTCATGACCAAGCAACTGAGTCAAGTTCGCACAAGGCACAATGTGTGTGTAGGCAAGTGAGTAATGAACAACAACACACGACCGACAAGCAAGCACCTCACACTTTTGTCTCTATCGGACACGATACCTTGTGCTGTTTGTGCTATTCATCTCTTCCTCTCGCACCCCCATTTGGCTGCATTTGGCCTGCCGGGTGCCAAAAATTCATCTTCAAACGCAAGCGTCTTCCACCAGCTTCTCGTTCTTTGGACTGGAGAAACCTCTCTGGCCATTCTCAAGGCATCTGGCAGTTCGAACTTCTTGGACGGATCCCATTTGCGACTAAGAACATCGCAGTTCTTGTTGGCCAGACCTGGGACGTGAGTAATCACATCCGGCTTCCACTGAGCCTGTCCCAGGTCAAGCGCAAATTCCCTTGCAATCAAGGTAAGCGCTTTGGATCCGCCCTTCAGCTTCGACAACATTGACAGCGCTCCAGTGTTGTCTGATCGAACCTGCAGCCTTGCACGCTGGCCATACCATGAACTTCTCCAGTGTCGAAGTGACACTAATCCAGCTAACGCTTCCCATGTTTGCTGACCTTCATGGATGCCAGCTTTAACTTGGAGTGTCTCCTCATCCAGCGAGTCAATCTGGATGGCAAAGTATTCAACGAAAACATCACCAAGTTGTAACGTTGCTCCCATGCCAAAGGGTGAAGCATCCCACGTAATGGTGACGAGAGGGAGCTGATGTTGAAAGCTCCTGACTGTGTAAATTCTTCGGATTCCAGCCATCTCATCTCGAAGAAAAGTGAGGAGCCATAGGATGGTGTGTCTCACCTGTTTGGTCCAGATGCATTCCTTTGGTGCACAAGAGTCCTTGACATAGAGGGCCATATACAACTCCTGTATGAATGGCCTCCAGCAAAACAACACTGAGGCGATAGACATGGCCTTCCCAATCACAGTTCTCAATGTCCGCTTCGGCACAACATTGGATTGAAGCATAGTTTGCAGAATCTCATTCAATTCCAGCACTTTGTCCTGCGGCACCACGGCTTCAACTCCTTCAGCAAGTACCGACAGCTCAACTCCAATCCACGTGAGCTTGGTGCTCAATGTGGCTTTGTGCACTGCAATTGGAAATCCCATGATCATCCAGGCAATGAGAACTGTAGCTGTAAGCCGTCTTTGACGTTCAGGAGTGCCCCGAATTGTTACCAGAGGGTCATCCACATATGTCTGGACCCTTGCTTCTTCAGTGTGCATACCCATATGGCGAGGCGTCGCCACTGTGCTTTGTACCCATCGGGATGCCAATGCGATGATGGCTGCAAAGGTGAGAGGAGCAGCTCTGCTTCCTTGTGCCGTCCTGTGAAAGCAGAAGAATTTGTTGCGCAGCTTCGCACAGAAGTACCTCCGCTCTGATTTGTGAAGAGGCACTAGCCAGAAAGCATCAATGACATCCGCCACAAGCAACGCAACTCCGTCTCCATCCCTGCAATCTGACTGCATTGACAAAGTTGACTGTATCGCATCTGAAACTCTAGGAAGCACTGACTTATGCGTCCTCGTTGCAACCTTGCTAACATGCGACCGTTTGCAGTCCAGAATAATCCTGGTCTTCTTGGTGACCAGACCAGTTGCATAGTTGGTTTTCTGCTTCACTATGCATCCAATCTTCGACAAAGTAGGCTTTGCTCCTACATGACTTTCCAGGTCCTCCAGTTTGTCGAAGACTCTCAAGTATCCTTTGTCAGCATACGACTGCAACGTTTGGAACGCTTCATCGTTCTCTTCCACTCCAGAGTAGTTGAGAAAGGTATCATAGTCAGTTGTGAGGTCAAAGAAACCTTCCTCTGTATCATCATCTACTCTGGGACAGACACCGTCCAACGCTGATGTGTCCTGAGTAATGCCAGCTGGAGCACCATCGATGAGCCACCTTGCAACGTTCGTAGCCGGGTCACCAACGCATTGTGACCAGTACCACATCAACTCACCTCTGACTACAGTCTGGTAATCCTCATTGCAAACCTGGTCTACGCTGCAGTGGCTGTTCATATCAGGACGCCTGTTTCTGACCAACAACTCGCATACTTGAAGCCTCAGTGAATCTACCATGTTATTCACATCATCCGAGAACTCTGTTCGTTCTCCCAAACATCCAACCAGCTCATCTTGTAGTTCACCATGTTCGTCCAGTGCCGACTCAATCAAGTTCTGCACCTGTTTCCCAATGAACAACATTCTGCTGTTGATGGACTTGTGGATGTTCCTCAGGCTGTTCATGTCACTGACCTCTGGTCTCACGCATTCACCCTTCAAAGGCTCTGCTTGTGTGATCTTGGGATCAAGAGCTCCGACTCGAAGGTGATCTGAACATTCAGCAGCCTGTTGCTGACGATTCCGCTTCGCTTTTGCAGTTCTGTCACAAGCCGCTCTAATGCACTTGGCCAACTGTTGATTCATCATTGCTGGATATGCTGCAGTTGATCTGGTGAGAAAGTCACCCCACGGCTCTTTGTCCCGCAGCATGCTTGCGTCCCATTCATCACTCAGAACGGCCTTCTGTCTTCCTTTCAGCGGTGGGTGGCTGGAGTATGAAGTCTTGCCACTCCATGGTATGGTCCACCACTTCTTCTCATGAGAACACCTCTTGGAAAAGGGGGCCATGATGTCCGCCTGGATATTTGAAAGCAAGTCCGTAGTCTTCTGAAACTCACAACTGTATTCGCACTGATCGAAGGTATGGAAGTTCACATCATCTTGACCAGCAAGCTGAACAAATTCATCCAACATAAACATGGAGGTGCCACCCGGCCTCCAGTGTGGCTGTTCAAGAATCCACGGCTTCTCATGAAGTTGCGCCCTCGATGCCGTGGAGTGCGCCCTTCTGGACAGAAGGGTGCCTTCTCGTACTTTGGTCTTCTCCTCCGCTGTCAAGTGTTTAAGCCCATACCTGTCAGTTCCAGTTGTTCCTCTAAGAGGTCCAGGTCCATCACCCTTTCCGCTCCTTGCTATAGAAAACGTGCAGCAAGGTGGACTCATGAGATATGCATCGTACTGGTCCATTTCATTCTGCAAGCTCTCCCAGTAATCTTGACAGAGAAGGTCCTGCTTGGGATTGTATTCAACATCAACGCAAGTGCATTTCATCCCAAGCTCCATGCAGGCCTGTTCAAATCCGTCACCTGGGCGTCTCGGACCACTGAAGAGATATAGCACTCTGTACTGAACTCGATCGTCCACCGAACCCTCGATTTTGTTCCTCAAGGGTTCCATGGCTGTAGTTGAACATTTATCCAAATTCATAGTGCCGGCAATCTGTACCTCTCTGTCACCTTGAATGTCAGAGTCTGCGCCTGCACCGTCATGCAATCGCCGCCTTTTGCCCGACGGCTGAGGGTCTGTACCACCGTCATCCTTTAGTCAGTACGGGGCCCGTTTGCCCCCTTTCTTGCCGCCCTTTCCAGATCCCTTGCCCTTTGCATCTCGTTTGACAAAGCCAGGTACCTGAACATCCTTGTGCGGGCATGACTTGCTAGGATGGTTGCCCAAACATCGGTTGCATTGATGCACAGTGTCCCATTGCTGTGTGCACCAAATCCCATTGCTCGTTTGGGTACATTCGCCAGATTGGTAACTGTCGCAGATCTTGAAGCCAGTTCTGTTGAGAGTATATTTGCCATCTTCAATTTGATGCACTCTGCCCGTCCGATTTGACTTGCGTGGCTTGGTACTTGATGAGGACTGTCCCGGCTGTGACATTCTCGCCGGCCCAGGAAAAGTTTCCCTGGGATGAGCAACTGACCCTGCTCCTTTCACTGTTGCATCGCCCTCCACCACCTCATTGAGTCCAGCCACCTTTGTCAACAGAAGCATGCCAGGCTCGATGACTTCCTCTCGCCAGAAAGCCTCTTGATTGGTTGCCCTCAACCAAGCTGTATTCCACGGCCTCGCAGGATCAAAGTTGGAAACACCTCCTGCTCGCACTGTAGCTTCATGTTCTGCTACAGCTTCACGTCTGAGCCGATCCATCAGTTCCAATCTGCATCTGGTCTCTGCTTGGTACAGCACTGCCCATATTTTGTCGGAGTACCGATCATGTAGTCTCTCCACATGACTCCTGTATTTCAGCAGCACTCCCAAGTCCACAGCTTTGCGCATCACCAGAATTGTCATGAGCACATTGTACGAAGCCAGCCAAGTTCCAATGTTCGGTGGTCCATGAAGCTCGACCTGTCGTATGAATCCGTCTCGTCCAATTGCAACACCAGACAATTTCAGCTTGCGCTCAATTCTGTGACCATATGGGCCGAATATTGCAAAGTCAGCAAATGGTGGGAGGCCACTGTCCAGCAGATGAACAATTGCAGAAATCTGTTCTGATGTCGGCTCGCAATCCTTCGCCGGCCTCTCACCTGCACCATACACACGTTCATACTCAGCATACATTGCAACCAGCTCTGATTCTCCAAGCAGCTTGATCTCAGTATCATCCACCTGAGATGCCACTGCATTCAACTTCACCTTTCGTGCCGGTGATGGTGTCTGTGCTGGACCCGGTGTTGCAGGTGCTGCTTTTGCCGCCGCAATTGCTGCTGTCATCTGCTGAATGGTCTGCCCACATCCCCCCACCAGTTGACATGCACGCATAAAGAGCTGTGCTTGGCCTGTCTCCACCAAGGTCGGAGCTCTTGTCTCTGCAGCAACTCCAGTGGGTATGCGCCAACTTGCCAGTAGTGCCTGAAAGTCAGCGTCTCTGGCCGTGCTCAAAGATCTGGGCTTCGTAATGCTCTTGCCACCGATGAGCACCAGAAAGGAGACAGAAACTGTGGACTCATCATCGCAGTCCCCCTCGAGGTCTGACCAGGCTACGACCTCTTTCAGAGACACCATTGCTGCAAGTTCATCGCTGGTTGGGTCTACTGCGGCCATATCCAACTGATATGATCAAACCGCTCGGGAGGGTCAGTTCTTTGACCCTCTCCTTGTGAGGTCTGTATGACCACCACGCCCAACCAGCAACTACCAGGAGGAGGGTGCCCAGGATGGATGTGAATCCACCCTCCTCCTCACGGATGTCTGTACCCTCACTCACAAACGAGGGTACCACCAATGACAACCAATCCCGCCCCCCGCCGCCAATGAACTCGCGGGTGCAAAAATTTGGGATTGGATGATGTCACCTTAAGCCAAAATGTAGCCCAGGTGACATCATTCCCACCCACCCAACCAAAGTGACATCAACGTGTTACATCCACACACGTGTTACTTCCAACAATTGTATGCCAGAGTTGGTTTAAGGGAAAAATCTGCAGGAAAAGGGAACTAATCAGCAAAACAATGGTTTCCGGTGAAGACTTTTCCTAAAACAAATCCATAGGTTTTACCATCAATCTAATAACGACAATAATATGTGCAAAAATATGAAATGCCTGAAATGCCTGATGACCATATGGGTAAATTCAAATGGTACGTCACAAAACAGCCCTCCAGCCACTTGCCTAAACCTCCCCGGCCTCCGTTCTGCGAAGCGGGCCCAGTGGCACCAATATGTTGATCTGGCTCTTCGCGCACGGCCTGGACGTCACGGCTCTGTCACGTGTCCCAAATGTTCCAGGGTCAGGTTACAAGGCATGTCCTAAGGCATGTGGTGAATATCCCTCCCATAACAAGAATCCAAAAATCATGGGTATTGAGAAGCTATGAAAATGAAAATGCATTGGTGCCCGACTCCCAATATGGGCATACATGACCTTGGCACATATCGTTGGGCATACAACACCGCATCTTCAGGTCCTTCATTAGCAAAATGGGCAAAGATTTCAACTGACATGAACCGTGGATCTACCATGATCTACCCAGCAAACATGGCTTGTTGAAGGTTTTTTAATAGATAATTGTCCCATTTCAGTGCCAATTTTAGAGTTTCCCAGCTAGCCATGTTTGATTACCGGAATGTAATCCTGGAACCTTCGCCCACACCTCAGCAGCAGGCTCATTGGGCCGCGAGGAAACCTCCCAAGAATCAACGGCCAGTTCAGGCATCTAAATTGGAGGTACCTATTACCCTAGAGTAAACTGTAAACTAACATAGATGTGTGGAAACCCTATGGTTTTCCGGTTTTCCTAGGAAAATAATCTACAAATGGTGGGTTTTCCACATCTATGTAAACGTTTACAGGAGGGTAACAAACAAAATTTATTGGATAGCAAAATCCAAGTAGTTATAGCTATGAGAGGGGATATCTCGCTCAATATTTTTGTATCGTACAGTAACTCCAATTGAGGTACATTAAATGGCGATTGAATTTGGACTGACACTTTGGTATGGCATACTTGGAGAAGTTGGGAAATGTTGATAGAGCGGGTCCCTTTTCAAATATGCTGGGAAATGTGTCACAGCTGGAAATAGCCCGAAAAAAAACACCCACCACAGAAGCAGCGGCAACGAAGGAGGGAATCGCAGCGGCAAAGCATATTCATACTTTCCCTCCCTGCCGAATGGCAAACTTGCCACGCAGGTCCCATGCGATTTAGATCACCACAAAATAATTTCGATGTTAGCGACTCTCAGATTTAGGCGCCCCGAAATATAACCAAATCTGGTCTCCTCGGACTGAAATTTGGACTTATACCCACAATGCATGTGTCAGGAGATAGCGTACGCAATATATTATCCCCAGGTTTATCTAACTAGAAAAATTCGCAATCTTACCAGCAACAATATTTTCCCGGTCATCTAAGGAATTAAATTCAACAATCAAGCAACTACCTAATTACCTGTTCACCTTCCTAACTAGACTAGCAATAAATCTGAGTGGGGGGTCATCGCGTCTTTAAATGGACAAACGTATGCCAAGTAACGATCCAATACTAAACCCATTGATGTCCCCCTTTTATATCTTATAGAGCCATTGAAAACTATAAACGAATATGGAGTTATACCGGCTATATCCATAGAAATATAACCCCGGCTGTGCTTGGAGCATCATCCTTCTTCGTAATTGGTCAATAGCCCTGGTTTTTAAGTCCGCCACCCTGCAAATCCCTGTGACTTGGCCTTCTTGTGCTGTGTGGCATGGCCATCTGCGGTTGAGAAATGAATGCACAGGACAATCAAGGCCCATCTGGCGAACATTCCGAACCAAACAGAATACTTTTGATTGGATATTTGAGAATGCCCATCATTTGCATGTTTTGGTTTTTTCAATAATCTGCTCTACCCATACCCAGAACATGGAAGAAGTGACACGACCCGACCACATGAAACTTCATCATCTCACGCGGCCTCCAGAAGTCAACAATGTCTTTGGCTTCTGGCAATGGAGCCGGATGATTTTCCCAGCGAACTGGACCTCCATTTTCTTCGTACCCATGAGATGACATGTCGCTCGTTTGGGTCGCTTTTGCTAATTGTCGAGGGGTCTTGACCTGCGGTGTTGCACTACACTAAAGGGTTGGCCTGGTCTAGATGAAACATGTCAAGTGGGCCTGGGTCAAATTTCTTGGACCCCCAAACCTGATGGATTAAAAGTCAAAATCACCGATTTGGAGCTCCATTATGTTCAAAACCTCTGCCATTCAATTCTACGGGTTCGTTAGTAGGGATTAACATAATCGAAGGAAGTTTAGAAGTCAAACTTCCGACAATATGGACAGATGAAAAGCAGAGATGGGAAGAGTCAGAAAAGAGAAGAGAAGAGAAAAGAAAAGAAAAGAACAGAAAAGAGAAAGAGTCAGCAGAAAGAAGATCCGAAACACCGTGTTTTTCCAATGATTTGAGGCTCCGGAGGGTCGAAAAGTAGACTCGCTAAAGCGGCGGGTGTAAAGCCAGCTGGCCAGATGAGAGATGAAAAATTGCACGCTGTTGTGGCGCGAAGCACATTTGCAAGTGAAAAACATAAAAACACCTCATGTTCGGACCAGTTTTGGAAGTCGAGATGTCGAAAAACAAAACACCACATGCTCGGACCACTTTTGGAAATTGAGATGTCTAAAAAGTGCACGCCGTTGTGGCG